CAATTTAAAAAGGTTCAAAAATATATATAATACCTGCAAGATACAGCAGATTGAGTTTTAAATATGCAATTGATAATTAGCAAAATCTAATGTTTAACATATAATGCTATAATGTAACTATCTTTATTTAGGTATCATAATCCAAGACATGAATGTTCATATTCATAATGATACTATAAAACTGATTTATTTCTTGTATTTTATTATAAAAGTTCAACAAACCAACCCTTATAACTGTAAGGGGGAAAAGGAAGAACAAAAGAGAGATCTATTTACAAATAACAAAATATACACTTTTGCTGTACAAGTTTTACACTGTTTCAGTAACAACTTCTGATTTCTATGAATGAATTGCATTTAATGACTAATTATGAGGGTGTCATATGTCTTTATGCTATGCCAGCAATCTTCATAACTGCTTCTCGATACTTGGCTAATGTTGTTTCGTCCTCCCCTGGAAAAGAATAAAATATTTCAATTACTTTTGGAGAAATGTTCAATCATTTGAAATCAACTGCAGTTGAAATCAAGAATGAATATTCAAATATAAAAATTACTAAATCTAAAAGAAGAATGTCTAATAAATTCTGATGTTTCTTACAGTGAATTGTATATAGAAAAGAGCTGCTATTTTCAGTAATGCAATAAGGATGAATGAGAACAATGTGACTTCAAAATATTAATACAAACCAATGAATACATATAGATATTCCTATTTTTGATATGAGAGTATTTCTCTGGTAAAGTAAATGCACAAAATAAAGCTGAATAAAAAATAAAAAAGGAAGAAGAGAATAGAAAAAAAAAAGCCAACACAAAAGCAAAAGCAGAGAAGGAAATATCACCCACCCTCATTGTGCAACTCTGCTACAGCGTCTCTGTACTTCTCAACATCCGCTTCTGGCACTGGCTCTCCCTTGGCTGCTGCAATGACCTTGAGTGCTGCCTCTGAGGGACTGCCTTGCCACACGTAGCGCTCGTTGTCAGTCACTTCCTTCTCATGTTCCCAAGGCTCTGTTTTCTGTGAGGGAAAACATGCTATTTCAATCCCTTGAATGCAGTGATGCCTCTGTGGCATTATTGCACTAAAACAAAATCTCTCCTGATGTCAGATTGACCCTCCATATCCTGGGTGATCTCCCACTTTAAATGACAAGCTACTGGTTTTGAAATGTTGTTGGTCCCAAAGAGATTTCCATTTATTTTTATGAATTCTGAAGGTTAATACCCTTTTAATCCCCCTCCTTTCTCTTCAAATTTGTTGAAAACCTCTATTATTTTCTTTCTTTTCTACAAGTGTGAATATGTGTATGTACATTAGAGACAGGAATTCGTACAGAATCTGGCACCGAGGAAAGGTTTGAGGATTGTGGAGTTTCTATGGTTGACATGGGATAGGATTGGTTTCGAAGAGGTTTGCATGTGTGTGTGTATGTATGGGTATGAGAGTAAGTGTGTTGTGGAGGTATAAGTATGGGTGTGTGGGGGTATGATTGTGTGTGGGGGTATGGTTACGTGTGGGGGTATGGTTATGTGTGGGGTATGGTTACGTGTGGGGGTATGGTTACGTGTGGGGTATGGTTACGTGTGGGGTATGGTTACGTGTGGGGGTATGGTTGTGTGGGGGTATGGTTACGTGTGGGGGTATGGTTATGTGTGGGGGTATAGGTATGGGCATGTGGGTTTGTGTATGTCTGTGAGGGTATGGGTAGGTGGGTATGGGTGTGTGAGAGTGGGTATGGGTGCATGTGTGTGGGTGGGTGTGGGTATGGGTTTGTGTGAATGGGTATGGGTGCATGTGTGTGGTTGGGTGTGGATATGGGTGTGTGGATGGGCATAAGTGTGTGTGGGTGGGCATAAGTGTGTGTGGGTGGGCATGAGTGTGTATGTGTGGGTATGAGTATAGGTAGGGGTATGGGGTATTGGTATGGCTGTGTGTGTGTGTGTGTGTGTGTGTGTGTGTGTGTGTGTGTGTGTGTGTGTGTGTGTGTGTGTGTGTGTGTGTGTGTGTGTGTGTGTGTGTGTGTGTGTGTGTGTGTGAGTGTGTGTGTGAGTGTGTGTGTGAGTGTGTGTGTGAGTGTGTGTGGGTGTGTGCATGCGCATGTGCATCTTCATTTTTATGCTACTTAGCCTGGCTGTCACCATGTGCAAACTCCTACAATATTGCATATGAATTTTTAATTGATTCTATGCATGGTGTAAAATAAATGTCTTACAAAAAATGACTTATAAAACATTAAACAAACTGAATTCACAATCCTCACTATCAAAAATCCTGCATCCCCTCCCCTCGATATAGTTAATGAGAGACACACTTCTATATAGACAATTCCATCCATACAGACATATACGCACATGTTTCCTCAACTATGACCAAAGAGATGCAGTTCCCTTACCAAAGCTTCATTGTACAGGACTGTCAGCAAGTAATGACAGTAATCTCTGTTCTGCTGGGAGAGTGGGCACCTGTCAGCCACCAGAGTTAAGCAGTCAGTTGCTGGGTCATAACGGTCACCCACCAGTCGCAGCAGCTTGTCCCTTGCGTGTGTGTCCAGGTCAAGACTTCGGAGATGAACCTGGAAGGGATGGTTGTGTGTGTGAGAGAGTACCGTGATGTTCATTTTTGTTGTTTTGGTAATGTCTGTCTGTTCTCTGATTATGTATTGTGAACATAATATTTCGGATCATAATATTATGAGGATGTTTAGTTCCACAGATAAACATCCTGGGGATGTTTTTGTGGCATATTAGGGTTTCTACAATTCTAAACTCTGTACTGTCAGATGAATTAAATAACTGCATTTTAGGATCTTGCTAAGTTGAAAAGACAGACTTGAGAGTCCTGAATGTAGTGATCAAAATTCATGTGTGGATTAGTCTAATATATATATTTCCAAATCATCATAATTCATTTTAATATCAAAATATCATAATTACTATCAACAGACTTGTCAAGACTTTATCCATACAAACTAAAAATTCTCTCATACTCTGAAAAAGTATAAATGCTTCACAATTCAACTCCAATTCATGAATCACCATCAACAATCTGCTCACCTTCAGGGTTACGATTCTGGACTTGGGGTCGCGTATGCTGGGGGACGAGTGCAGATATGAGCTCTTGGTCATTGTCACAGGGAAGTGCTTCTCCTGCTTCTCAGTGTTTTCTAGGCCAGCTGGCCAGGGAGTGCAGAATTCTGGAATAAAAATAATATTGATTTTTTCCCCCCAACAGTCCAGAAGAAAGGATAGAGAGAAAGAGAAGGAATAATAAACCAGAAGAGATATTTAACTAAATAATATCAATAATAGCAATGATAATTCTGATGCTTCAGATGGTGGTGATGATAATTCTTTGATATTTGTGATAACAACAATAACAACAACAGCAACAAAAAACTAAAAACATCAACACTGACATATAAGGCCTCACATACAACAATAAAACAGTTACACTCTTATCACACTAAAAATCTATTGTCTTAGGCCTTATATATCTTTCCTAAAACATTATTTTTTCTCCTCTTCATCTCTATAAAAAAATATGTCAAAGTTTTACTATGTGAGAGGAGTCATCATCTTTCACCTTTTAACAATAAGATGAGAAAATTTCCATGACATCATTGCTATTGAATATTTAACAACAGCTGATAGGAGATTTGCCTTTCCATATCATGTTTAACAAATTTGTGGAGAACTAGATGCAAAGAAAGAAATGTATGGGAATTACACATAATTTGCAAATAAAGGGCCAAGTAAATATATAAATCAAGACATCCTGTTATTTCCATATTCTATCTTGATTTCAAAAACACATTTTCCCGCAAAAAAGAGGAGAAAGACGGGTAAAAACAAACAATCAAACAAATAAAAAACAAAGACAAAAAACAGAAAATAAATAATCAGATACCTAAAAAGAAAGAAAGAAAAAAATTCACACAACTGATTGCCAAGAACCAAACAACACTCACTCTTGAGAGCCTCACACTGCCTCTCAATAACTGGGGGCGTGAGGTGGAGGAAGTTGGGGATCTTCATGAGCTCAGCATTGCCCCACTTGTCGGGAGGAGCTTGGCCCTTCGCCGGGTAGCCCTGACGTACAGCCAGGGGTACAGTGGCAGGATGGAAGGAGCGAGGTGCTGGCCAAACATTGCCCCAGTCCTGATCAGTTGCCTGACGTTTGTACCTGGAGGAAAGTTTGGTGTCTTTCAGTATGTTGAAAGGCATTTGTTGTATGTGCAAAGACAGGAGGCTTTAACATTCTCCTTCTGCTGAATAAACAGGTATTAAGATATACAGGAGAACTAAGACACACACACACACACACACACACCACACACACACACACACACACACACACACACACACACACACACACACACAACACACACACACACACACACACACACACACACACAGCTATCTATCTATGTACCTTTCTATCTATAAACTGCAAGAACCTTTTCTGAGTCT